AGGGAAACTGAGATGGCCATAAACCTTTTTACGATGAAGCATGAGCTCATCGCGCAAGCGATTTTCACGCTAGGCGGAACTTATTCGCGGTGTATATTTACAAGATGCATTCCAAATATGGAAAGTATTGAAGTATCGGATGTCGTGGGTGTTCGCACCTCTAACGCAGGCGTATCGTGTGTACTTAACATCTGTCTGCTCTTTAAAGGAGACACAATTAGTGGCCAATGCTCAAGAGCTGTGGAATCTCATCTTCGTGATAGTGGTAGAATTCCAACCGAAGGCGGTGACAGCTACCGTCTTTATGGAGGGCACTCGGACAGTTTTGGCTCACATCGAGACCTTACGCGTTGATCCGACCTTACTAAAAGAAGCGATAGATGTCGCGTGCAATGCAATGCGCAACTACCGCGACGCGAGGGTCGGGCAGGGTACCGAAAGTGGGCGCTTTACGGGCGCCCTGTAAAAATATGTTTTCTAGTAGGCCACACTGCGCCTAATGGAACTCGACATTTCAAATAAATACTTGTCGAGTGATACTCCGTCGGAATCTAACCCTGCGTAAATTTCAACCAGAAAGTGGGCATACAAAGTACAAATGTGATATTGATGGGTGCCGCGTTGTTTTCGATAGCTAAGAGGTAACTTTCTTCATTTTCAGCATGTATGAGGTCCATCGCCCTTCAAAACGCTTTATAGTGACTGTCTCGTACTGTAACGTCACCAAATTTTCCCTCAGTTACTCCTTGATATCAACTGGCGTGATTGTCTTGGCATTTTCCGCGGTAGAAGAAATTAGCTCGTATTCGACGGCAGACTGCTCAGAAGTATCACCAGCTGGTTTGACCCATCTACTGGCTCTCCCGTCGTTTACAATCTCACGACTAATACGTCGAACGCGTCCAGAGCTACCGCTATGCAAATACCAATCTCCATCTTAAACCCATGGTAGTGACGTGTCATCGTCACACGGTTGTGCAGAGTGGAGTGATCGTGGAATCGCGAAGCACTCCCGCGCTCAAAGG